CTCCTTTCCAGTTCGGGCACGTCGTTGGCATCCTTCGTCTCGGTGTAATAAAACAGGCCGGCGATTATTGAAGACAATTCGGAGATGTCTCTCCGGTGTTGTAGAGTTTCGCAAAGAGTTGAAGCGACCATCTGCTGCATATCCAATTGACGGCCGAGGCGGTTGCAGCGTCGGGTGAGGATCTCCAGAACTTTGTTGCCGCTGAGGATATAGTGGTAGATCGGGAGCAATACATCGAAATTCTTCTCCCTCGCGCGTTCTGGGGCCTTCAGGAAGTCGGCGAGCGTTGGAGTTTTGGGTACGACTTCGGGCTTGACGGCTGTTTGTTGTCTCGCTATTGGGCGTCGTTGGCGTGGAAGGTTGGGGCGTGGCGAATGAATTATGGGCATACCTGAAAAAGAGAAATTATAAGAGGAAACATCTAGAGATCTACAATTGAAAGATCTAAAAAGAAAAATTTGAAAAAATCGTGGTGAAAAAATCAGAAATGTGGATGAACGGAACTTTCCAGTTAACGAACCGTGCGTAATCTTGTATCGTTACGGACTTTGTAAAATCGATTCGAAGTTTTCGATTTTTGCTTTGTTTTAATTTTTTGTATAAATTTATATAAATTTTATTTATCATTTAGGTTGAAGTTCTTCTCCTTTTCCTCACCCGTCCCCCGCCCCCGATAATGCCAAAGTACCTCCCCTCAATTGACTTGCTTTCAGAAGATTTCAAGTGGCCTCTTTGCATACAAATTTATTAGGGTAAAAAGCCCCAAAAATTGTTATCTACCCGGTGCGCACGCGCGATGTCGGGAGCGAAGCCTGATTCGCCGGATCCGCCAGCGACGAGTCGACATCTTCGGCCGACCAGCAATGCAAAGCGCCGGAAGCCAACGAGTGGGGAAAGTTGCCTGATCCCGGTGAGTTGAAGATTGTATCCAACACTGTTTATTAATGAGATGGCCTTTAATAACAGATTTTGGTCTTAATCCGCCGTAAAAAAAACAGTTTCCAGGGTGCAAATGCACTGGGGGCAGTCCGGATTTGACTACAAGACGCTCCAAATGCCGTTTTTTAAACTCGAAGCCTCTGGAAAAGCTAAGCCAAGTCTAAGCCTTGGCTTAGGTTCATACAAACGAAGCCTAAGCTAGCTTGCGCCAAGCTAAGCTTAGGTCTAAGCTCAGTCCTAAATTACCCCATTTTGACCACCTAAGGCAATTTAAAGCTCAATTTAAGCTTAGCTTGGGCTTAAGCTTAAACCTAAGCTTAAGTTAAGCTTAGTTAAAGCTAGTTAAGCCTATGCAAGAAACCAAGTAGCTAAGGAGCGTCTCGTAACCCCTTAAACCAATTTCGGACTGCCCCCCTAACTGCATTAGCACCGTTTCCAGATCGCGAGCCGCATCTCCTACCTCGAGCACCCGCGTCTCCAAGAGATGCCCTATTACCATGGGTTCATGCCGAGGAGCGAGTGCGAGAAGCTGTTCGAGAATCCGGCTTTCCGCTGCAACGGCGTCTTTCTAGGTTTGAGCCCGAGTTTGCGCTTATAACCGGCCCTTTTCAGTGCGACAAAGCGTGCACGAGCGCAAGTACATCTACGTCATCTCGTCGTGGTTCGACGGGGCCCTCTATCACACGCAAATCTGCTGCAGTGATGTAGCTGCTCATCGTTTTTCCCGTTAATCGCCTCTTGCTTGTTGTAGAAATTCCGATACTGGGTGACGGATTGGAGCTTTCAAAGTATCCCGGCTCTGATCGAGTACCACGTCGACAAGGGGTAGGTGCAGCCAGAATCAACTATAATAAAAAAGTAGTGGTGTCCGTCCGTCTGTGTGTGTGTCTGAAGCCGAATTCAACTCGAAGGGGAAAGGAGCTAGAGCTTAGCTCTCTTCGGATTCGGATAGAGCGTGCTCAGAAACCTCCAAACTGATAAAAAAATTATGAAAAAGTTTTAGTTTAAATTATTAAAATTAACTTTGAAAGTTTTTTCCTTAGTAAAAGGGGTGGGGGACGGAGGTTGGGGTGATTTTGGACATAGTGAGCCAGGTAGCGCGCGTTTCGTGGATGAAAATTTTCACGGGGGATTTCATTTCTTTTTTTCTCTCATTCTATCCGGTCGGTCGTTATTTTTGTTTTTTTAAGGGGATTTCGGCTAGGGGAGGTATCTTAAACCATCGGGAAGGTATTTAGGTAGTTTTTGAAGGGGATTTCAGCCATGGGGGTATCTGAAGCCATCGGGAAGGTATTTAGGTAGTTTTTGAAGGGGATTTCAGCCATGGGGGGTATCTGAAGCCATCGGGAAGGTATTTAGGTAGTTTTTGAAGGGGATTTCAGCCATGGGGGGTATCTGAAGCCATCAGGAAGGTATTTAGGTAGTTTTGAAGGGGATTTCAGCCATGGGGGTATCTGAAGCCATCAGGAAGGTATTTAGGTAGTTTTTGAAGGGGATTTCAGCCATGGGGGGTATCTGAAGCCATCAGGAAGGTATTTAGGTAGTTTTTGAAGGGGATTTCAGCCATGGGGGGTATCTGAAGCCATCAGGAAGGTATTTAGGTAGTTTTTGAAGGGGATTTCAGCCATGGGGGGTATCTGAAGCCATCAGGAAGGTATTTAGGTAGTTTTTGAGGGGGATTTCGGCTATGGTGGGTATCTTAAGCCATCAGGAAGGTATCTAAGTTTTGGAGAGGGTTTGCTATAGGAGTATCCGAAGCGATCAGCGTGGGTATTGATGGAGGTAGGGAGGTATGTGGTGGTGTAGAATATGGAGGGTAGCCCGAAGGCCAGCCGATTACAGTCGCGAAGCGGCTGTAATCGGCTGGTTACATATAAAAAACCCCTTTTTTCTAGTGATCCGGTGTGTACGGAGGGCTACTACATCCGATACCACGCGAAGAAGTCGAGCTGGCAACTCGACCACTCGCAGATCATGTGCACGCGGCAGCTGGGCGCCGGGAATTTCGGATGTGTCTACGAGGCCCTCTACCAGTATGATCCCTACAAAAAGCCGGTAGGATAATTTGGTTTTCTTGAGAAACGTCTATAACGAAGCCTAAATAGAGCTAAAATAAGCTGTGGATTTTTCTATAGCAACCCTGCGCGGTGAAGACGCTTTTCGGCGAGAATATGGATGCGCTACAGCGGAGTGAATTCTATTCGGAAGCTAATCAGATGAAGGAGCTCAACCACGTGGGAAAATTTTGCACCTGAAATACCGACTTTTTTAGCCGAATGTAGTCGCCTTCTACGGCGTGGCGACGACGGACGAGCCGATGCTGCTCGTCATGGAGCTCGTCGGCGCCAGTTTACAGGGAAAAATCGAGAAAGAAGAGGTGAGAAAATACATTTTTGAACCCGAAAATCTCTAGCAAACCGAGATCGTGCGACTGAACTGGATCTACGACGCGGCGAAGGGGATGCAGTGTTTGGAGGAGCATGGTGTGCTTCATCGGTCGGTTTTTTGATCAAAAAGCCTAATTATTAGTTCTTTTTTGGGTTGCTTATTTCTATTTGAAGTGGAAAACTAGTAGAAACGGCTAAAAATTTTGAGATTTTGGTGGAAAAATCGATTTTTTACAGCTTTTTTTTTAGTTTTGTGCTTTAGGATAAGTTAAAAAAATGCGGATTTCCCTGGAATACTAAAGAACGCTTTTGGCTACGGTTTACTTTACCCCCCCCCCCCAGCCGAACGGTTTTCGCTATAACTTTTTTATTTTACATTATTGTAGGCTCAAATTAAAACTCTTAGTATATTTTTCGACGCTCTATCGAATGGCGTTGCGAAAATCCCGACAAAATAAGCGAAAATACCGACAACTTTGAGACCCTTCGGCTGTGGGGGGGGGGTAAAGTAAACTCTTACCACGCTTTTTAGCGACGTGGCAGCCCGAAATTTCCTGCTCGACCGCGAGGGCGTCCACGTGAAGGTGTCCGATTTTGGGCTGTCGATGGCCCGCGGTGCCAAGGTGGACCCCAAGAAGAACGCCTTGCCGTTGAGGTTTATCGATTTTCTTTATTCTCGATCCCCTGCGCAGATATTGGCCACCGGAAGTGCTGAAGAGCTACAGCAAAGCGCAGCCGCACTTTGACCACAAGGCCGACGTCTGGAGCTTTGGCGTCATGGTCACTGAGGTCAGGAATTGAAGCCTCCAAGCCCTGAAAATCTATGTGTATTTTCAGCTGTACACCCGCGGGAAGCGCCCGTTCGAGATCCTCGAGGAGAAAAACCCGGACGTGCGCTTCCAGGCGCTGATCAAAAAGACGAAGAAGGATTGCTGGGTGCGGTTAAAAACTAACCCTATTTAAAGTTTAAATTTTCAACCAGATAGGTTTAGTTAAAAACTAAAAAATCTCGATTCGCTACAGAAAAACTACCCGCTGCTGATCCCGATGCGCGGCGACCTGGAGAAGATTGTGCATCGGTGTTTCGAATATGACCCCAAGGATCGGCCGACATTTGCCGAATTGGTCCAACTGCTCGCCGAGGTCCGCTTTTCTTATTAGGTGGTCTAAAAAACCGAACAAACCATTTTTCTCGCCTAAAAACCAAATATCTTTTTTGGTCCTCTAAAACGTAATATCTATTTTTTGATTGCTTAGAAACAAAATTATGCTCAAAAACGCCGCTCAGCTCCCCGACGTCGTCGTTCATGTGCACGAGAAGCCAAAGAGCCTTCGCCGCCTAATTATCGACTGGTTCCTCGAATCCGACCCATAATTCCAGAATTAGCCTCTATTAAATTAAAAATATTAATACGTGTACTGCCATCTAATAAATGTCCTGACTTTTGTCGTTGTTAGAAATTTATCAATTGTTCAAATTGTCAAAAATAACACTATGGAGCTTTTGGTTGCGGGAAGGCACACGGCAAATCACAACATTTTGTGGAGGCGTGGTTAATGAATGAAGACACATATGCAGAGATCACAGACGCGACGGAATAATTGTCATTTTGGTGAGGGGTTAGGAAAGAAGTTTTAAAAGAGCATTTCAAGAAAAAAGGAACAAAAAAATTATAAGTTGACGATTTTCGATAGTCCAACGAGGCTGGCCCCTGTTAGGGTGACAGCAATGGCGATGGCCATCGTCGTCAAGTTGCGTTGGCCCTGGAATAATTACAAAATTTACACAATTTATGGATCTTTGGCATTATCGGGGGGAGGGAGTGGGGTGCGAATTTTTGCTGTCTAGAAATGCACAGTAACGCAATATGAAGTTTTTTAATACGGGTGCCCAAACCCCCTCTAGAGGCCGTCAATCGGATCGGATCGGAATGATTTTTATACCAATCGAAAGCTCTCGGAAAGGCGAGAAAACAAGCGGGTTTCGTTTTCTAAGATTTAATCTGATTCTATCAATATTTCAGGTTTTCCTAAAAAGCCGAGAATTTTTTATCAGGAATTTCGCAATTAGCATGCAGATCTCGCATAAATCAGCAGTTTTCATGGTTTTTGGACATAAAATTAGCAAATAAAAAGGCTTAATTAAGAAATTCAACCCTCCTTGTTTTCTCGCCTTTTCGAGAGCTTTCGATAGATACCTAAATCGTAAAAATCGGAATCGACTGCGGACCGCTAGGTAGGGGGGGGGGGGGTTTTGGGACACCCTGTAGTGTTCTTAGTAAAAGAACTATCTTCCGAGCAGAAAAACTATCTAAATAACTTCAAAACAAACTGCTTTAGAAAGGCCATTTTGTCGCAAAAAATCCATATTTTTGCGTTTTTTTAATAAAATTTGGAGTTTTTACGTTTAGAAATAGTTAAAAAACACTTCCCCTATTTAGATTAGAAAATTAGGCCCTAAGGAAAAAATCTGCTTGATCGAACCCACCTTGATTTCCCTGAAGTACAGAATGCTCCACAACGACGCGACGCAGCCGGGCAGGGTGGTGATGATCGGGAACGTGACAGCCTGAATACTAAAATTATAGAAAAACAATAAATCCACCTGTGACAGGTTGTCATTGGCGATGAAGAACGCTGACTGCGCGATGGCCCACATCAGTCCGCCGGCAAAAGAGGGCAGCGTGATTTCAGGGTTGATTATTGGCTTGTTTTTCCTGAAAATATGGATTGTAAAAGTACTTTTGCAATAGCGGGGGACTAATATGCCTAAATGTCGGCTAACTTCATAGTAAGGATCTTCATAGTGTTTTTAGTGAAATTTAACGACATTTCAAACGGCAAACTATTTAACAACTTCGAAATAAATTTTTCAGTAGAAATTTTTAGGTCGAAAATCAATTTCTTTTTGCTATTTTGAACCCAAACTTTGTAACGTTTTCACGGCTAGGAATATTAAAAACAGCTTGGAAACACTTCCCCTACTAATATTAGAAAAAACTGATTCATAGGAAATAGTTCGTCCTCCTCTATACTGCGAAACTGAAGTAAAAAACCTTCCCATACTCACTTGAAAATCGCGTATCCGAGAAACAGTGCAGTGCCAGAGATGAAGATTCCAAAATAGTGCGAGAACACGTAGCTCAGCCCGTCAACAGGAGCACCGGGGAACGCTTCCAGGTTGTCTTGCATGTAGATCACCGGCACGAATGTTAGCCCGTAGAAGCAGCCGGAGATGAGGGCCAGGACGATGCCGCTGAAATTCAAAACCGGATTAAATTTCAATTTTATAAAGGCTAATTGTAAAAAAGAAGAAACTTACAGGCCACGGCCAGATGCCTTTCGCTTTGCCTCAACGCCTTCGATGGTCGTATCCGTTTTATCCTTTCCGCTTTCCTCATCGTCCGATCCATCGCCGACATTCAGTTTCTCGCACTCGCCGTTCGTCTAAAAGCAGGTTGTAAAAAGCCGGAAACGACATGGCAAAAGCTTCAATGGCACAGCAAAATAAAAATAAGCAATAAAGATCTTTGGATATTACCAGGGCTACCACGTTTTCCAGTTGATGCTCATCCTGCTTCAAAACAGAGATTCTTTTAAGTTTTTAAGGTAACGTCAAACTTCATTAAAAAACTTACAAGATGAAGCGTTATCCGTTTTCCAGCCGTGTCGTCTTCCGTCTCATCAGCGTTGCCTTTTACACGCGAGAAGAGGAATCCACTAAAAAATAAGATATACTGTAAAATAATCTAAATAGGAATGCTAAGCCAAATCGCACTAATGATAAAAACCAACCCCGTGAGCACCAGCGCAAGCCCCAAATAGTTGAGAATCGATGAAGCCGGTGGGTGCGCCTTCATGCCGAACAGACCGAAGCTAAAAACATATTTAGATGCAGATCAAGCACTCACCGACCGCCGGCCCATCCGACCAGACAATTCGTGGTATTCCAGAGGAGAATGGAGAGTGCCATGCCGAGTCTCGAGATGATCGGGATGGCCAGAGAGTTGCCGAGGGCCCATGAGAGGCCTCCTAACATGGCTAGCGGGTAGAAGCCGGGGAACGAGCGGAGGCCCCAGCAGATCCAGCCAACCAGCACTATCGCCCCAGACATCACCCATTGCACGAAGAGGCCTGGAAATATAAGAAATGTCAAATTTTTGATGGAATTCCGTCCATTTTTCCTCCATGCCTTTTGCTTTTAGGCTCCATATTTAACCCATATCTATCTAGTAACAGGAAGTGGTGCATTTTAATAGACTTTTTACTAGTTTTCGATGAATAAAACATAAAAAATTCGAAAATTGAAGTTTTTACTCATTTTTGGCCGCCTTCCATTGCACGAGAAGCCTGAAAATGCCGCGTAAGGATCAATAGTCGTAATTCCGCTAACACGAAGTCGTTTTTATCTGACTAATCAATTTTTAACGTTTTTGAAAAGCGATTTTGAAACGCAACGTGATATCAGCTATAACGACCGGTCGTCAATGGCCTAAATTTCAGACCCAGATCCTTTAAAAAACCGATAAAACAAACCCACCATCGCCAGCATCAAACTTCTTGATTGGGACGAACATGGAGCCGAAGAAGAGCACCGAGACGCCGCAAGCGCCCAGCCCCATCAGGGCCGACATCTTGGCCCGTTCGCTGAAAATAGATGCGATTGAATTGAAACTAAATGGAACAATTTTAAAAAGCTATAGAAAATCTGGAAAACATTGTGATTTGGGAATTGGGGTCCCCGCTAAATTCTAGACAATCACCGGGTACTGTCCAGCACGCAGACCCCCGGCCCACGATGGATTAGCATAAATCGATGTGATTCGTGGGGGGTCTGGCAAACATAAAACCGAGCTTCCGAGGCTTTTCGCTGGGAGCTGGAGGCCACAGAAACAACAGTGCACGGAAGCATTAGCCCAAAAGTGAGAGATAAGAGGCGGCAACATATAGGAGGCGTGGAGCTCGGCTTTCTACATTTTTTGAGGAAATGGAAGCGTTTCTAAAGCTTTATGTCGCTTTTTTATTTTTCTTCAATGCTTAAAACATCTTACAAAACATGACAATTTGAAAATTCTTGCTACGCGTTGAGTTTTGCGTTCCACTCGATGCTGAAAACTTACTTTTAACATCAAAATACATTCTCAAAGCCCAAATAATTTTCGTTTGTGAAAAAACTGATCGGAACTTTCAAATTTTAGGTCGTTTCATGTTTCAGAAATTGAAATTACTTCTTTTTAATCCGCTGTTTAAGACTTTAATTCAAAACAAGCCTAAAAAATATGGTACAAACAAAGAGCCTTGAATCAGTACAGCGCAAATAAGGGATTTGCGTGGAACGGCTGGGTTCATGGCGTGGGGGGTGTAAAAAGAATATGCGGGCTCTCCGGGAACGGACAGTGGTCAGCCAGCCAGCCGGCTGGCTGCCGACCTGCGTCCCTATTATCTCTATCCGGTCCCCCGGCTTCTCGTCTCTCTCATTCCCTAGTCTCTCTTGCTCTCCCTCTTTAGCCTTTTTCTCCATCCCAATCCTGAAAGGAAGAAGATCGATGTGACACCATGGAGAGCACCATTGTACCAGCGTATACGTATTCGCTGTATACAGGTTCATGGATACCTCACTTAGAAATGCTATACAGAATCTTTTAAAAGCTCCAGAATGACAGAAAATAGCTTTAAAACTCTCAAAAGTGTCCTAGAAAATTCAGATAACTTTATTTTACAAACTGTTTTTACCCAGCACGCATTTCTGAACCTTTTTTTACTTTTAAAATCAAAGTTAAACTATGGAAAAGGTCATCGCAATTTCAGAAAACTGGTTTTAAGTTTTTTTTCATATTCGGCGCGAATTTCCGAATTTTTTTTTACTTACTTTACTACTTTACTTTACTTTAAAATCAACTCTAAATTATGAAAAGTTCCTCCAGAAAAGGTTATTTTGCAAAACTTTGATTTTTATAACTTTTTTAAACCTCAAAAATACATCAAATTTGTTTCAAACCCCGAAAAAAGATCAATAGCTATGTCGAGCCGGGCGTGCGGGGGTCAATTTTAACGGCATCCCGCGGGTCCGCGGCATCGCTTGGGCAAATATTGTCGTGCCGCAAAAAAGAGGCGCAGGAAACCCGAAAAACGTGTCCAATTTGTTGAAAGCATAGATAATTTATTCGGTCGCAAAAACTGGCAAATTTTTTGGGGCGGGAAAGTTGAAAAATTTGAAGAAAGTTGCAGAAATTGTGTGGTGGTGGTGGTGTGAAGTGAGATGGGCTGGGGGTTCGGAATGGCGAGAGAAGGGCACAACGAGCGAGGAATTTTATGGGAATTTTGCGATGATTTTGACAGCTTTGCCGACTTTGGTAATGTCATCAATTTTTAGTTTTTCGATTACAAACAATGGCCAGACAAAGTGTCAAAACCGCTAGAATTCCCCTCATCTTGGCTTCCGATCTAAAAACCGTATCCGAATGGGAGCAAAATGAAAAGAGAGAAAGAAAATGAAAACAATTTTGGCTCGGGCAAAAAGGATGGATTAAAAGGATAGTGTCGTATCAAAAATAGGTAGCAAACAATGTTTAGAGAGCAGTAGATAGGCGCGTACAGTGTAGTGTCGCGTTCTCCCATCTCGAGTACGTGTCGCTATGCAGCACGCGTGGGTTTTGTGCGCTTTTCGCATTTTCGGCAATTCTAATAATTTTGATGTTCTACTGTCCTTTAAAAGAAAAAGCAAAACAATTTTGGCTCGGGTATAAACAGGAAAAATTAAAGGGACGTTAGCTTTTCAAAAATAGGAAAATAATGTCTAGAGCGCAGGACTTCGACGCGTACAGTGTATCGTCACGTTCTCCGATTCCGAGTACGATTCACTACACAGTACTCGTTTATCGGTACTGTGTGTGTATCTTATGCGCTTGTAGATTAGCGCCGATTCTATCCATTTTTCTGATGCGCTACCATCCCTTGTCAAGGGAATTTAAAGTCCTGAAATTGCTATAGAGTTTAAAATTTAAAATTTAAAGAACCAGACGCGAAAGCTTAGCACGATTTCGATCCGGGGGGCAAAACACAATCATTCGTTGTTTGATATGTGCACATGTCATGGAACGGGGGCTCTGGTAGAGGGGATTTTGGCTCGGGAATCGGGATATTAACAAAGTTATAAAAGACGTAAGACTTATCATAACAGCATCATGTTTATAAGAGCGCGTAGGGGGCGACGATGAGGAGAACTAACAACACGGGCAGATTATAGGGGTTGGCAGAGGCGGTGACGGCTTGAGGGCCCGTGCGTCGGGATCGGCATTCGACCCCGTTGATTGGTACTGAAAAGTGGTATTGTTTTAAACGGTTGTTTTTTTGTAAAATTTAGCTATCTTTCAATGGGGAAACTTTCGAAGATTCGAAAAATTATTTAAAAATAAAATTTTGACCGAAAATCGCGATTTTTTTCTTGGCAAAATCGATATTTTCAAATTTTTAATAGATTTTTGGTGGATTCTAACAAAAACTTTATCTCCCCTGATAATGCCACAGTACCAAAGTACCTAATTTCTAAACTTTACAGTGAATAAAGTGTGTAAAAAACTAACACTGCCCAACAAGACTTTTCGCTTCGGCCAACAATCGGCATTGCGCGCCGTGAACATCTTCAGTGATCCGATGCACACCAACGGCCAAGTCTTCTGATAGCACCAACGCCTTTTTCTCCACACGATTGTACTTTGGCCAGAAGTACGCTGGCATTCTAAACGGACCTAATATCGAAATTTAACAAAAGTGTCAGAATGTCGAAATTTCCAATACAAAAGTTATCCAATCCATAAATTCCAAGCCAAAAATTCTTAATTACGAAATCCTTGCATTTCGGCGTTTTCAAAACGAGCCGGATAAACAGATTATAATTTTCCGGCAAAACTACCTACCCGGTATTCGTGAAGTCGATCCACATCTGCATCACCGCTGCCGAGAATTTTTGCTCGGTCTGGAATCAGTTCGGTTTTATCTGTTTTATATTTTGTTTTCATCACTTTTTAAGTATTACTACCTTAGTATTACCGTCTCTATTGACTCAGTAATTTCAATTAAACTTTCCAGACCATCGTTAAATTTTCAAAAATCTCTTATCCTTTCGGTTTATTTCACGTTGGCGTGTGATGTGTTGCCGGCCGGAGGCGCGAGGCCAAAAACTCGGCGCCTGTTTACAGCTTTTTAGGGGCACCGCAATGCTCGGGCCAATATAAACGGTGGTGGCGGGGCCGAGACAATACGCGAGAACAGCAACACAAATGTTTCGACAGCTATCGGTGATCATTTTCGGCTTTCTGCTGGTCGTCGCCGAGGCGAGATGGTGGGATTGTGAGTTTTTAACGTCATAGAATACCCCAAACCACGTTTATAAGCTATTAAAATCACCAGATTTGGGGTTTAGATTTAAAAACTTCGTCCAAAATTTCACTTTAAGCCATAAAATTCAGATTGCCCCTCGAACGAGCGGTTCATGTATTGCGAGACGGGCTGTGAGCGCCAGTGTGGCGAGGAGCCGGCCAAGGTAACAAAAAGCAATTAATTCAAAAATCACTTAATCTGAAACATCACTATATTCTTTAAACGGTTAATCTAAAGATATGCGCCTTGCCGGTGGAATGCGACAAGAAAAATGTGTGCGAGTGCAGCCTGGGTTTTGTGAGGAATCCGGATGGGAAATGCGTCGAGCCGAGCTTATGTCCGGAGTAAGGCGAGAGGCCAGACTTACCATTGTTTAATTGTACATACTTTTCAATAAATTTTAATATATAATAAAGTTTTAATAACGTTTCATGGTAAGTCCTACCGCCAGTTTTTCCGGGGCGTAGAGCATAGGACGGCGGAAGGGCTGGCCGAAGACGTACTCGATCTCATACCCATGCATTACACCCATCCAGCGTGGCCACGGGTTGCCGGAGGACCTAGAAACCGCGGGTTTTTACGATTTAATCTATCTGGTAGAATTTTCAAGTTATAAACCTAGGTCTTTTGTAGTCTAGTACCTTCATTTCATTTATATACTTTTTCTTTTTTAACTCGACTCCGCGTTTGTCTACAGGTGTGTAAAGTATACCAAAATGTTCGTCTTGGTCTGGCGACCATTTTGGTATACATTACAACCCTGTAACACAACCAGGAGCCCATATACAGTAGGCGAAGGTCGGCGGGGGCTGCAGTTTTTTAGCCTTCTTTTTAATTACTATGATATAACTTCCGTACCGCATTGTGAAGTAATACATGTAGAGCGGCCCGTGAATGTGATCGGCCAGCAGATCGGCAAACTCCAAAACGCCGCACGTGAAGAAGTAGTCGCCAAGGAATCGAGCTACTCCATCGCGCAATCGCTCGCTAAAAGTTTTGATACTTTTGTTACTTAAAGACCCATGTAATACTGAAAAATTCCTCAAAAAGACCCACTTCTCATCCGGCGACGGCGACAAATGCCGATACGCATGCATCAGAGAATGACGTACGAGCGCCGAGTTCCCGAAATACGGCAAAAATGCCCCAATCGACCTCCCGAACTGCTCGTTGTCGATTCGAGCCCGGTTTTGCGGGTCCTCGGCCGAGATCGTATGATTGTAGGCGAAGCCGAACTTCTTTTCAAAGCTAAGAGAAGTTGATTTCAATAAAAAGAAACATTTCTTACAGGAAATAGGGCAACCAATATGTGCCTTCATCAGCTACTGTGCCCATCACAACAGAAACGTCCTTTTTAAATTCCCGTCGCCGGATGCGCTCCCATAAATTCCCCTGAAAACGGGCGTTATAGAAAAGAATGGCGATACCTTAAAGAAATGATCATCCTCCTCCACCGGCGCAAACGGAAATGTCATCGGCAAGTCGATGCTGTTCGTGATCAGATCGTTGTGTTCCTAAAACGAAAAGTAACCGGAAACGACATAAGGATATACCTGTAGGACTTGAGCCGGCAGAGCGCGCAGACACTTTCCGATGGCTTTTCTATCTACAGCGCCGGTGCCTGTGCAGTTGACAAGTCTCGCCAATTGTAGTGATGTTTCCAGCAACGTCTCTTTGGTCCGTGACGCCCAAGTGTTCGTGATTGCGCCGCTCTGAAAAATAGGAATAAATGTTCTATTTTTAACGAAATTTCGAAAATAAACTTTTCACTTACCTTAGCTATAATCTTCGAAAACAATCGATGCGAATCGGGCGCTAGAAGATGTGCCGTGACGGAAGCAGCTCCGGCGCTCTCGCCGAAAAGCGTGACCCGCTTCGCGTCCCCGCCAAACGAACCGATGTGCTCTTGGACCCAGCTGAAGGCTTTTGTAGTTCATAGTTTTAACAGTTAACTATAGTTATAATCACTTAATAACATTAACTTACCTCAACGCGACCTGCTGATCCATCAAGCCCATATTCCCATTGATGCCCGAGTCACCACCGAGGTACAAAAAGCCGAAAGGGCCAAGTCTGAAATCATGCACGGCTTTTTCATACTTTTTTTTTTGTATTGTTTGGAGGGTTTTGCACTTGGTAAGTTGCCACTTACCGATAGTTAATATTAACGACAATCTTGTTGTACTTCACGGCAAGAACCGAACCGTCGTAGAGATCGAGGCTAGGGGAACCTAAAATCGATCCGTTTCTTTCGCACTATCGGGGGGGGGGTCTTAACTTTTCCTACGAGTCCAGAAAAGACTAGTAATGTAATGGTAAGCGTTTCAGTAGTGTGTTCAATAAAATTTAACTATATTTAAAGTTGAAAACTCTCTAAAAATAGAGACTTTTCAAAATCTGAAATTTTTGTCGAAAAATCGATATTTACATACTTTTTAAAAATCGTATGAGAACAGCTTAGCTTTTTTCACTCACTTACCTGAGAAGAAACCGCCTCCATACACCCATACCATCACCGACCCGTCGTGTTTCGGGGGTACCCAGATATTCAGACTCAAACAATCCTCCGATAGTGCGCTCTGAAAAGAGTAAATTCACCCTAAGAATCGATAGTAAAAGAAAACAACACCGAATACTTATAATACACAATTTCAAAGGCCTTTAAATAATTTAAAACCAACACTCGGCGGTGGATTCCACATTTCGGCGCCCGGAAAGTCGGGGAACATCTTGTCGACGGTGTAGACGCAAGTCCGCGACGGGTGTTTCGCCTCCAACTCTCCATTCCAGGCTGGCACTTTCTAAAAAAGAAAGATGCGATTATTTTTCAAAAAAAGGAACCTCCGGCAGCCCAAATCTTCGGCCGCCAACGGGTGGCCTCGCGTAGGGGACGCCGAGAAAAGCGGTTAGTTGAAGGCCGGAGGTGGTCTGAAAAAGAAAGATGTACAAAAGCTTTTTGCACTTCGACGCTAGAAAAACACTTCTTTCACACACTTCTTCTATTAAATTCTATTAAAAATTTATACTTCGACGCTGGAAAAAGCTACGGGCGTCACGCGTACGAGAGCGCCTTTTTACACGTGAACTTTTGGACCTCAAATCACCGGCTTCCTCTGTACGGCTGTGCTTGTAAAGGAAGGGGGACTGAAAAGTACCTGTTTGAGGCCCCGGATATCGCCGAGACTCGTCCGCACCAGAGTGTCATCTGAGGCTATCGTCCGAGCCGATACCTAGGAATCCAATTTTCGCCAATAAAATACGTGGTTTATAAATTAAGATCTGATAAAACAATAACCTGAATACCTGAATAACCTACGCTGAATAACCTACCGTGATAGATTGGATGAGGAGGAGGGTGAGGAGTAGGAGTGGGACGGCGGTTCGTGCCCGCCCGCCGCCATCCCACATTGGAAGTCCGCCCGGGACGATCACCACATCCAATGGGCAAAAACCTGCAACAAAATTGAAATAGAGAGTAAAAATAGACGATTGAACGGAAAATGAGGTAAGAAAAATCGTCAGAGAATACACAAAAAATCAAACGGTGAAGCCGGCGAAGCAGTGCCTAACGGTTTGGATCTTTGGGGTTTCCGGGGGGCTTTGTTTTTTTGTTGCCGATACCCTCTAATTTTTCTGAAATGTAAGGGAAGTTTTTTTGTAAGGGAAGGGAAGTTTTCAAACGGTTTTCTCTATTTATATATGAAAAAATTTGGCAAGTTTTTATTTAAAATACAAAAATATCGCTTTGTCGAACAAAATGGCCGATTTTATTGATTTTTCATTTAGTCTAATATGTTCATCCACTTTAAATTAGTTCTATTTTCCTATTTTAAATTTTCTAAAACTTTCTAGTGATTACAACGCATTTCTAGACGTATAAGTCCCCCCAACCATTACCCCCGGAAATGCTATAGTACAACAAGTTCAAGTGTGAGAAGTATCGGTAAACAGCAGAAACTGTTGCTGAGGAACAAAAAACATGGATGTCAATTGGTTTTTAGATACTTTCCATACTTTTATCGAGGGGGAAACTTCCAACTCTTCTAACTTTCTAGAATCAAGCCGAGCTTCATGAATGACTTGGCATATTGAGCATGAGGTTTCCAATTCATCCACCCAATTCCTGCCATGAATCGTGAGCTAGTCCGGGGGCACCTGGGTGAGCATTAATCCGACATACGAGAGGAGAGGTCGGCATGCAAATGGGCGTCGGGGCGGAATCATCGGTACTTCCGGTCGTGGCCACATGGCCATGGCCAAGAGAACAACGTGAGAGAGCAGATTTCCAATATTGGGGGGAATTGTAAGGGAGAGGATTTTCAAATCGGATCCCAGGCGTATTTTCCTAAACGTACAAATTTAAATTGATAAAATTTTATCCATAGCACAAAAATATCGAATTTTCGCCCAAAAATTAAATTTAAAAATTTAAATTAAACTAAATTAAAAAATTAAAAATTTTTTTATAAGTTTTACTTTCGGTTCTTTTGCATTATCAGGGGGCCAACTTTTTTGAGAGACCAGATTTTTATAAGCTCGTGTAACGAAACAGTCTAGTATTTTTTTACTATTCCTAAACGAAAAAACTTTACGCGTTTTTAGTAGAAAAAACTCGATTTTCGGCCATAATGTCGAGTTTTAAAAACTTTGTAAACGTTTTAGGAAGTTTTTCCACTTGAAATCTTGTTAAATTTTTCGAAAAACACTATTAAAATACTTATTGTTAAGTGTTTAGCTAGTTACGGTAGAATAAGAAAAATTCGGCCCCCCCTAAATGATAAAACACCAGCCTTTCAAAAAAAAAAAACACGAAAAAGACGTCATTTAGACCGCAGTTTGTAGAGAAAACGCTTCAATCCAAAACTTTCCCACAGAATACGGTGCCATTGGGCGATGAACGAATTGGCTGGGCCCTCGCCCCGAGTTGTCGGCATTTCTTTTAGATCAGGGCCATGAACATAAAACCCACATGTCTCCCACCAACCGACAAATAGATCGGGGATCTTAGGACCCAGCGGGCCCTCCGATTTATATCCTATAAAACCGGGGGCCAAACTTCCCTTACAAATCCTATAAAATGGCTCCCGGCCAAGCAGAAGCCATCCAGTGTTGCCAGATTGAAAACAGGTGCTGTGTTTTTACTGGAGCTCGAAGATATCGGGCAAAAGATCTAGCGGCCAATTTGTTTGGGGGGGGAAAACGCCAGAATGCCGACAGGACAAATTCCGGAAGAATAAAATGCCGACTGTCAAAAATACCGACAAGCCGAAAAAATTCCGACAATCATAATCTCGGCAACGAAAATCCCGAGAGACCAAAATACCGACAGCAAAAAATTTTTGGATAGCCATAACCCCGACACGGTCTAAAAGCAAGTGAAATTAAACTAGCGTAAAGAATTTGTTGGCATTTTGGCTCAAAATCGATATGCGTCTTTTCCATTATCGGGGGGGGGTATCATTATCTTCCTTAGGCTATTAAAACTCCTAATAAAGGTTTTAGGCCGATTCGGAGCTATAAGCGCCCCCTTCCCCCGATAATGCCAAGGAACCCACCTAGGAAAAAGTTAAGCATTTTTAAAGCTTGCCAGTCCTGGCAATGAGCCAATAAAATTCCAGTCTATTGATAAAACGTTACAATCAAATTCAAATCCGCTTTTGCCAACATGCATTTATCGCGAAAAATTGCCTTTTGGTCGCGCTCGCTCCCCGAAAAGTGAGCAGATTTGCATAAAAAGAGCTTTAGTGCCATGTGGAAAGCTCTGAAAAAGAGGAATCGAGTGGAATTGAGTGGGCTCGATGGACTGATGAGTCAACGGGGGGGGGATGGAAACAACATGGCCGCTTCTCGGGACGGACAAATGATGGGGGAAATGGAAAATAATATTTTAGTCAGAGCAATGGGGGGGATCGTCGTTGTGAACAACAATAGATGAAGAAAATGATGAAGCTTGAGCATCTTATTAGTTCATGAAGAATGTAAGCGTCTGAAAAAGCATTCGTAGGCAAAAACCGTTGCAAGAATCGTATCGAATACGAATTCTTAAAATACAATATGCAATTTGCTTCTGCATTATTTATTTTTAAAGATTACTAAACTTTTTTCAAATGTTATTAACAAAACAGAAAAGTATAGATTTTTTTTGCCAAAAAGCAAGATCTTGTCTAGAATATCGAATTTTAAAATTTTTAGGTAGTCTTTAGATAGTTTTTCCACTCGAACTAGGGCTAAATTTTTATAAAAACGCCATTAAAATAGGACTATTACTTCTTACCAGGAGTTCCTATTATTTCTGGACACAAAAAAATCGATACCCCCCGATAATGCCAAAGTACCTAACAGAAACCCCCATAAATAATAGTATAGATTCCAGGATTCTAAAATACTACCCAAAATTTGTATCGGACAGTGCCGAAATCGATAAAATCTTATCTATCACAGCCGGTGCGGTGCCCCATTCGGCTGCCAATTCAAATAAAATCAACGCAGAGAAGGAAGGAAGGAAGGGAGGGTAAATGGGCACGCTGTTTTTCTTTTCCTGTTCCGGGAAATAGGCAAAAAATGAATGAAACAGGCGTGGGATTTTTTAAAGGGGCCAAGAAGGCAGGGTTTCTTCCACTTCTTCCGAATTCCAAGTACCGGATGGCGTCAGTGATTGCCGAGAAACGCAAAACTCATCCCACCCCCTCCTACCCTTTTTCGGCCAAAAAAGTGCCGTCAAATGTGGCGTGCATAAGCTGGGGAGAATGGCTCGCCCAGTGACAGCACACCCATCTCAATAAGAGTCCGAAACGGGGACAGCGGCAGGGAAGTCTACTGCACCCTCATAACCTCCCCCGCGCCAACCTAAAACCGGAAACACCCTATTTTAGGCCAGAGCTCTTCGAAAATTCCGCAAGCCCTTGAAATGTGCGTCAGTAGGCGCTGGAAGGAACGCAAATGTTTTTGCGAACCGCTAATTTATGCAAATCCGGCGGCTCTTGTCTCAAAAAGGGGAGGGGTTGCTGGCCCTCTTGTAAGCGGAAGTTTGAGGGCTTTCTAGGCCAGAACGGAGCAAAGAATGTTTTCTAGTCGCTTTCAAGAATTGTGAAAGTTAAAATCACTTTGTAAGAATTTTGGGTACTGGGTTGTTAGCGGGGGGGGTAATTTTTCCAGATAAATCCGTACAGCGACATGTGGTAAAACATCAACGATTTTTCCAACATTTTATACGGTTTTTAGATCTAAAAACTTCACGAAAAAATTTATAGAAATTTCCGAAAATACTTTTAGACCAGAAAATGTCAAAATTTTTAATTTATAATTAAAAAACTTATTTAACTTCCTAGCAGTAAAAAAACTACTAAAAAACCATAAAAACATTGTATCGTTTGAAAAGGTGTATTATTAAGACCTTTAACAATGGTCGGAAAAATGGCTTGGGAATCCATAGCCAAAAATCTCGATCTGTGCCTTACCGGTCCCTTTAAAAACGTCAAAAACCTCAGAATTATGGAAAAATAGTGCAACAAAA